GATGCTAAAAGGCAAAAAAAAAAAAGGAACTTGAAATAAGTCTAGTGGATCTTTCTTCATTCATCAATACTTTTTTGATACTAAAAAGTAATACTTTTTACTTTGATATAAAAGTATATCGGGTTCTGTGGAGTACTTCTACTTTTAGTTAAGAGTACTTTTGTTTTGCATGGTAGTTTCTGAACTTTAAAAAATAATTATATATATATATTTAATTTAGTTGTAGATGGATACAATATCTTTATTTATTTATTTTATGTGGTGCTGAGATTCAAACCCAGTACTCACACATGCAAGGCAAGTGATCTACCACTGAGCTACAACCGCAGTCCCTAGTTTCTAAACTTTAAGGCATAATATTTCTTTTAATTTGGTGGTTTGGATTATGGGCCTGCTGTTTGGAGCAGATGAGAAAGAGCTGGAACCTGGATCCAGACTTATCCCTGTGGTGGGTAATGCTGGTGGGAGAGAAGTAATATAAAGCCAAACCCTTATAGATGGTGAATCAGTTTCCTAGGGTTGTTATAACAAAGTACTACAGTATGGTGGCTTAAAACAAGAAATTTATTCTTGCACAGTGGGGAATGGGATATTGTTCAGCTCAGCACAGATGGTATCCAGAGAGTAAGCAGCAAATAACACTGCAAGTGGTCACTGTGAGGGAAGACCACCTGGAATACGTGGAGGTCTTGACCAGTGAGTGAAGCATGAGGGAGGACACACTAGGAGCAGGCTGCAATCAGAAACTCAGGTAGGCCATGAGCATTTGATCAGAAGGGAGGAGGGTCCTTGTTTCAGGCTGGTCTCTATTCTCTGTGGGACCTTGGTAAGAGCAAGCTGAAATATTTGAGACCAGGCAAATGGGCAGTCTGCCAAGAATGAGAAAAGTCAAGTTCCCAGGGTTGAGATCATGAGAAGCCTTGCTTTCAGGAATAAGGAAAAGCTCAGCTATAAGAGGGGAGCCATCTAGGCCAGGGCCAATAATAGAACAACTGTGACTTAATGCTAAGTCCCAGAGAGTTGGCCCAAGCATCTAAAAATCCCTTCTTGATTTTTGGAACTAGGGATTGAATTCAGGGGCACTTAACCACTGAGCTATATACCCAAGCCCTTTTTATTTTATTATTTTTAATTTTTAAAATTTGTTTTATTTAGTTATACATGACATTAGAATGCATTTATGCATTTTGAGAGAATATGATAAGCAAAATAAGCCAATCTGAAAAAACCAAAGGCCGAAGGTTTTTTCTGATACGCGAATGTTAATTCACAATGGGAGAGGGCTAGGGAAGAATAGTTACTTTATTTTTTATTTTGAGACAGTCTCACTAAGTTGCTTAGGGTCTTGCTAAATTGCTTAAGTCCTCACTAAGTTGCTGAGGCTGGCTTTGAACTTGTGATCCTCATGCCTCAGCCTCCTGAGCTAATGAGATTACAGACATGCACCACTGTGCCCTACTAAAAATCCCTTTTTTCTAGGGATATGTGTGGAACAGATAGTACTGGGCCTTCACATTTGGGTTCAGATGGCCATATAGGAGTGGCAATAGTAAAAAAAGAATTAGGAACTTCCTCACTGTAGTTCAGAAATCTTTAGTTTCTGACTCTGGCAAGAGTTAAGGCTCCCTTGTAAGAGTGGGCCCTCTGCATCATATTGAGTGCTTTAGATAGAGGGAGGATGAAATTTTTAATATTCAAACTTCATCTGTAAAACGAAAGCAGTTGCCCTTTCTAAAATATATTTTTTAGGTTAGTTTGTTTACTCTCATCAGAGTTGCTTTGACATTGGCATCTTTTCTGTGTAAGTTTGTTGCTTGTGCTTCTTTGGGACTCAGATTGCTTCTTTGATATGGAAATCCAAACTCCTGTGTGGTCTTAGGACTCTGAATGACCCATACCATCTGTTTTTCTCCTCAGTTGGACTGATTTTTGCAAGAATTATGTCCTAGATAGTTCATGAGAACACAGAAACCAAATGCTGATGTTAATCAGTTGCTTCTCCTATTTAGTGTCCTTTACTTTTTTTAAATTTTTAGATATTCATGATAGTAGAGTGTACTTGGACATATACATCCATAGATAATCATTTATTCTAATTAGAATCCCATTTTTATGGTTGAACATAATGTGGATTTGTTTACATTTTTTTTTGTTTGTTTGTTTTTTGCTCTTGTCCTTGTTTCTCTGGACTAGGAATTTGTTTTATTAGTTTTGGAGACTTTTGGATTTTGCCATATATAGTTCTTAGTTCTGAATTGCATCATAAACAATTCATGTTACTATTCATAAGTTTAAAATTTTTTTTTTATTTTAAACATTTATATTTTAGTTGTAGTTGGACACGATACCTTTATTTATTTTTATGTGGTGTAGAGGATCAAACCCAGGGCCTCACACATACTAAGTGAGTGCTCTACTACTGAGCAACAACCCCAGCCCTATTCATAAGTTTTTGTATGCCAGATTATTTGCTTATGATAAATTGCTAAAAGTGAAGTTGCTGGCTCAAGGCTATGTAATTTTAAATGCTTTCCCCCCACTTTTTAATGCTTTTAATACGTATTTCCAAATTACTTTTCAGAAAAGTTCATACTTTCTAGTTGGATATATAATCATTCTTGTTCCTAAACTCTTATGAACGCTGGACAATTTTTTTTTTTTAACAGTTTGTCAGCTTGAAAGCTGGATATATATGCTTACAGTCTCAGCTACCTAGGAGGCTGAAACAGGAGGGTCATTTGAGCTCAGGGATTTGAGACCAGCCTGGGCAACATAGCAAGACCCTGTGTCAAAGAAAGAAATAAAGTTTGTCCATTTGATAGTTTGATAGACAGTAAGTATATAATATTTTTACTTAAATTGATATTTATTGTTAGATTAATTGAACATATTTTTTGTTTATTCACAATTTAAAAGTTTTTTTGGGGGGATTTTAACTGTGACTATTCTTTGTCCATTTTCTTCTTTTTTAAAAAATATTTTTCTAGTTGTAGATGGTCACAATATCTTTATTTTGCTTATTTATTTTTATGTGGTGCTGAGGCAAGTGTTCTACCGCTGAGCCACAATCCCAGCCCCTCTTTGTCCATTTTCTTTGTAATATATGCCTTTTACCTCATTCCTCCATTTATTTAACAAAATCGAGCCCGTGCAAGGGTCAGATACTATTCTAGGTGAACAAAATGGACAAAGTAGACAAAAATTGCTATGATTAAGGAGCTTATATTTGAATGTAGTGAGGCAGAAAATAAATAGAATATAATATGACATGTGGTAATAAGTATAGTAAAGAACATTAGATGTGAAAGGGAGATAGAGGATGTCTATGGGGATCAAGGGGAGATCTCACTGATATCACTGGCATTCAAGTGGAGACCTGAAGATTAACGCACAGGCTCTGCTAATACCTAGCCAAAGTGTTACAGGCAGAGGGAACAGTGGATACAAAGGCCAGAAGACAAGACTGTTTTCTCTTCAGACTGTAGTTTGGTGATTAAGGGGGAGAATGAGGAGGTAGGTTTGAAAAGTAGCAAGGAGGGTGACCTTGGAGTCAATATAAGGAATTTGGATTTTGTTCTGAGCAAGTTGGGGATCCATTAGAGAGTTTTAAGTAGTGATGTGACATGACTTAACCCAATGTGTTCAAAGAACACTGGTGGTGGTAAGTGGAATCTAGACTTTGGGGAACAGTGGTGGAATCTGGAAGACCAGTTAGGGGACTATTGTAGTGTGCCAGATGACTTGACTGAGGTTGGTGGTAGAGGGTAAGTAATTCTGGATGCATTTTGAACAGAGCCAGTAGATATTGAGTGTGGTGTGTGAGAAGAAAGGGTAACAATGATTCCAAAGTTTTTGGCTTGATAAACTAGTAGAGCACAGTTCCATTAACTAACTGACAGGAGAAATGTGGGAAGAAAATATTTGGTGATGGTGGTGGGTGGTGACATCTTTCTTATTTATGAGATCTTTTAAAATGGTTTTGTATTTTCACTTAATCTGCATGAAATTAATGATGTACTGTCAATGACAGTTCAACCTTAATTTTTCTCACAGCCATACTCCCAACCCTTTTTATTTTGAGACAGGATCTTGCTAAGTTGCCAAGGCTGACCTTGAACTTGAGATCATCCTGCCCAGCCTCCTGAGTGGCTAGGATTACAGACATGTGCCACTGCGCCTGGTACATCACTAAACAGTTTGATCTCTTCTGTGAGAAATTATTGTATTATTTCCTCTGAACAGGGAAAGAAGGATTCTAACATGTACGAGTGTTTAGCAACCCCTGGCCTTCTCTTTAGTTGATGACATTGTGATCATAATTTCTGAGTACACTGGGTTGTAAATATTTGTCTCCTGAGTCTTTTTCATTTCTCAGAAAAGATACTTGCTTAAGAAAATAGCTTTTATCAATTTGTCTCAATGAGTATAAATTCTTCGTTGTGAAAGATATATGACTTATTTTTAATCACAGTCTCTGTCCTGCTACAAAATACACTTTGCTTTGCTTTTTTGCTATTTTCTTTTTTCTTCCCCTTTCCTTTCTTTCCTGGATTGAACCTAGATGTTAGGTAAGCACTCTATTATTGAACTTATTCCCATCACTCAGATTTATTTTCTATGGCTTCATTACTTTCAACTGATAATTGAGATTATAAACTCCAGTTTGCTTCAGCAATGAAATTGGGTACAATGGTTTACTTGTTGTCTATGTACTCGTACTATGAATTCTCAAGCCCTATAACATTTGCATTTTCTACAGTTACATTCTCTGTGTTCCAATCCTTTTCTTTCATTTGAATAATTTAGAGGTGATGATGATATTTAATTTGCTGGATTTCCTTCTTTAAGGCAAGAAAATGGATTTCTTATTATTAATAATCTTACTGAATCTCTTAGTTGGGTAAAGTCTTCAAATTTGAAGCTAAACCTATAGTATATCATTACTTTTGAAATTTGGGTCAAGGCTGATTGAAAATAAATGTCTTCTTTGCTTTTTGTAGAGAGGGAAATATGATGTTCCTAAGTGGCTCTCTCCCAGTAGCATTCTGCTTCTTCAACAAATGCTGCAGGTAACCTTTGTTAAAAATAATAAAAGTCTATCATAATTGTTTGATTTAACTTTAAGGTATCTATTTTACTATCACATTTATCACTATCTATTAGCTTTAAGAGGATTCCATCTATCAAATCAACTTTGCAGATGTCCTCCACTAGTCCTGCCCCCTTTCCTTCCTTTCTGTTCTTTTTTATGGGAGATTGAATCAGGGCCTCTCACATGCTAAGTCAATGTTCTACCATTGAGCTATACCCCTAGCTGGATCCTTTCTTAATGATGTAACACCTCCACCCCCATTTTTTTGATCTGATATGGTTTTTCTTACTTTTTCTTGAGTTTTTTTAAAATCAGCTCTTGTTTCACTTGCTTCCATTGTCTTGTTCCCACCCTTGAATTTTAGATATACAGAACACACTGAGCGAATGCTGGAACAAGCTGGTGTACAATTGAGGGAGTCCTGTGATCTAGTTCAGTGGTTCTCAAATTTTAGTGTGTGTCAGAATTGTCTGATGGGCTTTTATTTATTTATTTATTTATTTGGGTATTGGGGACTGAACTCAGGGGTACTCGGCCACTGAGCCACATCCCCAGACCTATTTTGTATTTTATTTAGAGACAGAGACTCACTGAGTTGTTCAGTGCCTGCTGAGGCTGGCTTTGAACTTGTGATCCTCCTGCCTCAACCTCCTGAGGCACTGGGATTACAGGTGTGTGCCTCTCTGTGCCTGGCTTCAATGGGCTTTTAATACATAGCTTACTTGGCCCTATTCTTAGAGTGTCTGATTCAACAGATCTAGGGCCAGGCTGAGAACTTGCATTTCAAACAAACTCTCAGATGATGCTGGTGCTGGTGGTCTTGGGTCCATACTTTGAGAACCACTGATTTAGTAGAATGAATCTCCAAGAGTGAAAGATAGGAGTAGTGAAGTCTAGGTATCCACCCTACTCATCAAAACCTCAACTGGTGTTGATCTGTAAAATAGGAGTTTTGAGCCTGCCTCACTGCTATGCAGTATTAGAAGGATAAAATGAGATTGCTATGAAACCATTTGAAAACATGAGTATCTTACTAGTGCAATATTTTATTCATTATGTATTCAGGAATATCTTCCACTTTTTCCATCTATTAAGCCATTTCCACCTCTTTTATTCAAAATTTACCTTAGGCTCACCCACCTTGATTAAGTAGGGCCAGACCACCAAATCTCCATAATGAGATTGAAAACGCCTCATCCTTTCTTCTGGACTCCAAAAACTTAATCTTTGTTGATTAATTTTTCTCTCCTCACATTTGAAAATTACAAATGGGAAAGAAAGGTGTGCTTTTCAACTTGTTCCATGTGAATGTAAGCTCATCGGAGGTAGAGATTGCTTATTCAATATGAATGCCCTGCATTGTGACTGCTTGAATATTAAATTGGTGAATATTTTCCGTGAATAGGTTTTCCAGCAAAAGACTATTACATCATACAATAGATTGACTGAACTTCATGAATAATGTCCATACCAATGAAGTTCATGTTTGTTAAACATTTTTCTTCTAAGCCTGTGTTGGTTGCTATAGTTTTCTTGCCCCTATTGCCTTTTTAAAAGAATTTATTCCAAGGCCATTTTAAGGTCTTTGACAGCATTTTTGTGATAATAAACTTTACATCTGTTCTGGTACATTTTGAGTTCTCAAGAGGAAAGGTGTTCTATGTTCTCTATTTGAAATATTAATCTCTAGCTGCTTCTTAATGACCACTAGGTGGACCCAAAGAAACGGATTTCTATGAAAAATCTGTTAAACCATCCCTGGATCATGCAAGATTACAACTGTCCTATTGAGTGGCAAAGCAAGAATCCTGTAAGTAAAATGAAATCCAATGGAATTTTTAAAAAATATTTGATCTTTGTGTGAATTCAGGATCTACAGTGATGTAATCTAAATACAAATGCAAATGCATTTTGTAGGTTTACTCATGATATTATTATTTAGGAAACTTATGTCTGATAATATGTTTGCTTGATAATCTCTAGTACATTGAATAGTTCCTTAACCTGGGCTACATATGAGAATCACTTGGGACCTTAAAATAAAACAATACCTACTCCGCACCCAATAACACCTAATGAGTATTTTTAAAAGCTTTAAAAGCTTCCCAGTGTTTCTCATGTGTAGTCAGGATTAATGCTTTGGGAGTACTGGGCAAGTTACTTAATTTTGTTAAACCTATTTATTCATCTGTAAAAAGTAGGTTAAATCAGTTCTAGTTCCCCAAGTAGTTATGAGGTTACAATGGTTTTCAAACTTTTTTGTTTGAGGACTCTTTTACATCTTAATATTTATTTATTCATTTAAAAGTAACAGTAATAAACCTATCACATACATATAATAATGTAGGTTTTTTTGTGTACTGGAGATTGAATCCAGTGGTTCCTCTCCACTGAGCCACATTTTTTTTTTTTTTTTCAGACAGGGTCTCATTAAGTCATTTAGGGTCTTGCTAAGTTGCTGAGGTGAATCTCACACTTGTGATGCTCATGCCTCAGTGTTCTGAGTCACTGGGATTATAAGTATGTGCCACTGCATTTGGCCATGTCACAAATATTTTTATAAAGAAAAGAAGATTGCAAGTTAAGACTAGTCTCAGCAATTTAGTGAGGCCCTTAGCAACTTAATAAGACCGTCTCAAAATAAAAAGGGCTCGGTATGTATGTAGCTCAGTGGTAAAGCACCCCTGGGTTAAATCCCCAGTGCTCCCTGGCCCCTAAAAAAATTCTTTTTTTTTTTTTAGCAAGAGTGGCATGTTTTACATCTTTGCAGTTTTTAAAAAAGTTTGGTTTAAGCAAGGTGCAATGATGTGCACCTGTAAACCCAGCAGTTTCAGAGGCCAAGGTAGGAGGACTGCAAGTTCAAAACCAAAGCCAGCCTTGATAACTTAATGAGACCCTATTTCAAAGGAAACAAACAAACAACAACAACAAAAATGGGTGGGAATGTAGCTCAGTGGGTTTAATTCCTTGTATCACCACCAACAAAGTCTGGTTTAATAGAAGACACCTGTATAATTGACTCTTTCTGTATTCAGTCTGAATATGTTATTTTGATGAAAGAATACATGAAGAAACTGTAGCCTCATGCAGACATAGTAGGAAAAGAAGAAATATTTTAATAGCCCTTTCAGATATTCTTGATACTCCATTAAAACTTGACAAGTAGTGGGTGGTTGGTTGGTTGGTTGGTTGGTTCGTTCCATCGTTCCTTTGTTCCTTCCTTCCTTCCCTCCTTCCTTCCCTCCTTCCCTCCCTCCCTCCCTTCCTCCCTTCCTCCCTCTCTGGAGTTGAACTCAGGGACACTCAACCACTGAGTCACATCCCAATCCTTTTTTTGTATTTTATTTAGAGAGAGGATATTGCTGAGTTGTTTTGTGCCTTGCTAAGTTGCTGGGGCTGGCTTTGAACTCATGATCTTCCTGTCTTGGCCTCTCAAGCTGCTGGGGTTACAGGTGTATACCACTGTGCCCACCTTGGATTTTTAAAGATTAGTTACATGTGCAATCTGAAATATTATTAATGAATTCTTTATATTCTATCCCACAAAATCCACTCATTGGTCCTTTGACTCTTCCCCATATATTGGTCATTTGGGAAATTCTTGTTCACTGAGCTGGGCAGATCTTCCCGATGTTGATACATTTCACTGTATAATATTTTTAAGAAATCACATTCCAACACTTCAAAAAAATCACATTCCTTAAAAAATCACTATTAATCTCATCAGAAAAATCTTTAAGTATTGGAAAGCTGTCAAGTTCATGGTGGCAGATACAAGTTTTCCAAAATTGTAATTTAAAAAAAAAATCCAAATTATATCATTGGCAATAAATACTGTCAGTTAATTTCCTTGCGGTAATAAATTTATTTTTAAATTTGATAAAATGTCTGCTAAGTATCCAAGTATAAATTAATAACAATAGTTTTTCAGTGGTTTTTCAAATAAAAATAGTATTCTATGAAAAAAAAAAAAAAGACTAATTGAGCTAGTAACAGCCACACAGGTGCTTTTCTTCCAGACAGCCATCACACTTTTGTGTTCAGAATCACATCATGCATACTTTGTGTTTTATCACACACAATAATAAAAACGTGTACTTGAGGTTGAAACTTAATAAAATTAATAGGACTTAATTGTGTTTACTTTTTTGGGGGTGGTGGTGATTGAACCTTGGGCCTCACACATACTAGGTAAATGCTCTACCACTGAGCTACAATTCCAATCCCTGTCTAGTACTTAATTGAAACTGGCTGTTACTGTAGTATGCTGGTTTTAAATCCTTTGGGAATATACCGAGGCATGGGATATATGGGTCAAATGGTGATTTCATTCCAAATTTTCTGAGGAATCTCCATACTGTGTTCCAGAGTGGTTGCACCAATTTGCAGTCCTACCAGCAATGTTTAAGTGTACCTTTTTATATGCCAGCAAATGGATGGATCTGGAGACAATCATGCTAAGTAAAATAAGCCAGTCCTCAAAAGCTAAAGGTTAAATATTTTCTGTGATACAAGGAAGCTAACCCACAATAAGGGGGTGATAGTAAGTGGAATAGGAGTTCAGTAGCTTAGACAATGGTGAATGGAGGGAAGGGCAGGGAGGTAGGAAAAGGAAAGACAGTGGAATGAATCTGACATAATTTCCCCATGTACATATATGAAAACAACACAGGGAATCCCACCTTCATGTATATCCATAAGAATGGGATCCTAACCAGAATAAGATATATTCCTTGCTTGTAAATTATATCAAAATATATTCTATTGTCATATATAGCCAAAAAGAACAAGAACAACAAGTTGAAAGCTATTAAAAAAAAGAAAAAAAGAGATTCTGGCTTTTTTTTTTTTCCTGAACTGTGAGTACACAACAAAAAATACAATATCTTAGTACAGTTTGGTGCCACCACACTGATTTTTACTAAGGCACCAGCATTGTTATTCATCATTTCTTTGCTCTTGTACCATCAGTGCAAATGTCAGGACTTTGAAAAATGAAAAAATAGTATTATAAAAATAGTTTTGACTTTGGAGACCCTTAGGGGTCTACAGATCACACTTTGAAAAACAGTCTAATATATAAGCAGGAGAATTCAAAAAGCATAAAGTGCTATTCATGTTTAAACAATTATTTAAATTTTATTCCTGTAAAATCTATTTTTAAACAAATGGCATCTTAATCTTGGTATGAAAGAATGTGGATACTTTGTTTTATTTGTTAACTATTGCTACATTAAAAAAAAAAAAACAAACTTTAAAATCTAGTAGCTTGGGCTGGAGTTGTAACTCAGTGGTAGAGAGCTTGCTTCTCATGTGGCCCAGCAAATAGCTATTCTTTTGAATGAGGCTTAGACCAATCACCCTTGCTAAAATTACCAGATGACTGAAGCCACATGAGTGAAGCCAAGCAAAACCAGCGTGAGAACTGCCCAGTTAAACCCATCCCAAATTGCTAGTCCTAAGAATTGTAAATTGATATTATTTTAAACTACTAGATTTTTAAAATTATTTTTAGTTATAGATGGACACAGTATCTTTCTTTTTATGTGATACCAAGGATCCAACCCAGTGCCTCACATGTTCTAGGTAAGTGCTCTACCATTGCGATACAACTGCAGCCGGTGATATGTTTTTTTGATTGAAACAAATGAAGAGGGCCTGGGGATGTGGCTCAAGCGGTAGCGCGCTCGCCTGGCATGCGTGTGGCCGGGGTTCGATCCTCAGCACCACGTACAAACAAAGACATTGTGTCCACCGATAACTAAAAAATAAATATTAAAATTCTCTCTCTCTCTCCCCCTCTCCCTCTCTCACTCTCTTAAAAAAAAGAAAGAAAGAAAGAAAGAAATCCTACCTTTGCCTGTTTCTTCCTCCCTCCTGCTCCTGTCACTTCTCCTCTGACTCATTAAAAAAAAAAAGAAACAAATGAAGAAAATACAGCCTTGGATACATATATTATATGAAAAGGGATAAGTATTTTGGAAGTCTTTTCAGATAGTTGGGGATATTCTGATGTTTCACCAAAAGTTCTGTAGTGGAGAAGGATATGCAAATAGATCAACAGAATTGTTTAAAAGTGGTTTCAGACATGTTTGCTTTCTAGAATAATTACATCAATCCCAGTAGCCAACTGGTCTTGGAAAAATAGACTTTGCTTGGTTCAAGCCCCTTCTCAGTCTTTTCCCCACAATTATCACCATGCAATCTGTACTAAAATCCTTCTTGATTCTCTTTTGGCTCTCAACTCCTAGAATTTCTTTTTTACATATTCTTCCTGGCCCTCCATGATATCTTTAATAGCAATCAAGCAAACACAACTTAATTCTAGTAATTATCAACACTAAGAGCCTAAGGACTATGCAGGAAAAGAGCCAGCGAAACTGATGTGCTCCTTGTAAGGTAGAGAGTGGGCGGTACAAATGCCTGTGTTCAACCATTGGGGGTCATTGTTTCTCCATGTGTGGAGGGCTTTGCATGTCTTCTCAGCCATGATCCTGACAGAATAGGATACACAGAAAAGATACCAAAATGAAGAAAGTCTCTTTCAAAAACCCCAAAGTTTTTTATTTGGTATAAAATAAAATACATAGCTTGGCATGGTGGCGCACACCTATAATTCAAGCTCTTTGGGAGGCTGAGGCCAGAGGATCACAAGTTAGAGGCCAGCATCAGAAACTTAGTGAGATCTTGTCTCAAAATAAAAAATAACCAGGGCTTGGGATGTAGCTCAGTGGTAGAACACCTTTGGGTTCAATCCTCAATACTGGTAAAGAATTTTTAAAAAGTAAAATATATAAAGTTTTGGGTGTTGTCAGAGTACATGGTTTTCCTTACATCTTAATTTAATAATTGCCAATATTTGTTAAGTACTTATAATAGTTTTCTATTATAATAAGAGCCACTATAATTAGTAGAATAATTATACAACCCTATAATATAGATACAATTCTTAGAATAATATCTTTAAGAGTCAGGCATTGTGCTAGAGACTTTTTAAAAAATTTTTTATAATTCATTTAATCCTCACATTAACACTAGCCTTCTGAAGTAAGTATTATTACCTCTATTTTTCAAATGGAGCAACTGAGACACAGAATCATTAAGTAACTTGCCTACACTCAGACTAATAAGCACAGAACTAAGATTTGAATCCAGACAGAAGAGCTATGGCACAGAATCAATCTGATAGGTCAACTGGTTTAAGTTTGGGGCCTGTATCCTCTGCACTTGCATCCTTTGTGACAAGACATGCACACCTGGTCTTTACTAGAGCAGAGTCATAGAGAGGTGGCATTGTGGTATGATAGAAAAAGCCTTGGGCTAGAAATGAAAAAATGTGGTCTTGGGTGATATCAGTAGTCTTCATTTTATCACCTCTAATGTTGGTATTTTGATGTCAATCTCCTATGAATGTTTGGGTCCTGTTTTGCCACTTATAGAGTACTTTTACATGTAGTACCACTTCTCTATTTTGTCTGCTTTCCAGAGCTGTTGCAGGATCAAATGACTTATATACAGAAGAACTATATGGGATTGTTGTTGGTTTTTGAAATATTTGTTTTTTTTCTTTCAGTGTTGTCTTATCAAGAGTAAGTTATAAAAAGTAATTCATATTTACTTGGATATTTAAGGTATACATGCTGTAATAACTCTGTACATGATTTCCTCCTTCTATTTCTATGCACAGATCTAGTACCCAAGTATTGTATCAAATAGAAGTTATATTCAGTTCCATTTTCTACACTAGTGAACAGGAAATGTAGTAAGCACGGATAATCCAAAATAATTGATTAGATTTTTATATGCATTTTTGTTTTTAACCTAATTCGAATATATGTGGCTGAGAATTCAGAGCACATAAAACAAAGTATAGAGCCCCTTTGGAAAGCCCATCTTGATAAGCCATGGTTTTTGGACCCTTTGTCTTTTCTACCACCCCTTTTATTTTTCCAGTTCAGGAGCCCAGCAGAAAAGATAGCACCTTCTTCTTACCCTTGCTATACAAACCTTGTAGTAAAAGTATAGAGTAGGAGGCTGTGGAGGAGAGAGGATTTTTTTTTTTTAAGGGAGTAACTTAAGATCATGGAGAGAATCCCTAAAGACTTACTTCAACAATGATGACAGGGATAAGAAGATACTAAACTGAGTGTTAAACTCTTTGGGCTTCTGAGGTTGAGATCATTCAAAAGGGAAAATCTACAGTTCTGGGAGCTGCCCAAAGCAACACAATGAAAACTTATTCTTAGCATTTTGAACTTTCATAGTACCACTATTTTAAACCTTTGTAGTCTTCATTTTGACTGTAACACATGAGGTTGTGCTTAAACCAGCCAACAGTGCTAGTTTGTCTTAGTCTATTCAAGTGGCTGTAACAAAATACCATGCATTAGGGATGAAATTTATTTCTCACATTTCTGGAATCTTCGAATTTCAAGATCAAGGTACTAGCTCATTTAGTGTCTGTTCTGCATCCTCATTTATAGTTGGTTCCCTTGCACTGTATTCCTCCATGGTGGAGAGAGGGATCTCTCTTAGGCCTCTTTTATAAGCCCTACTTCCTAATATTGTTTCATTGGTTTCAACATATGAATTTTAGGGGGACACAAACATTCAGACCACAGCAAAATCATTGTCTTTATTGTTTTTCTCTTTTTATGATGGCATGATGATTTTTCTCTTGAACCTATTGTTACTAGTATGTCCTTAAAAAGGGAAAGTCATGCTATTGTTCTGCTGTGCTGACCAAACCTCTTTTTTGTTTGGTTTTGAATACCTCATTGTTTTGTTTTAATATTTTTTAGTTGTTGATGGACCTTTATTTTATTCATTTATTTATATGAGGTACTGAGAATCGAACCCAGTGCCTCACACATGTGAGGAAAGCCACTCTACTACTGAGCCACAACTCCTGCCCATTGAATACCCATTTTGAAGATTGATGACAACCTGGCATTTGTGGTCTAAAAAAAAGTGGCAGCGGGCTGGGGATGTGGCTCAAGTGGTAGTACGCTCACCTAGTGTGTGTGAGGCACTGGGTTCAATTCTCAGCGCCACATAAAAATAAAATAAAGATATCATGTCCACTTAAAACTAAAAAAATAAATATTAAAAAAAAGTGGCAGAATGATAAGTGAAGTTGGGGCTGGGATGTGGCTCAGCAGTAGAGCGCTGGGCTAGCATGTGTGAGGACCTGGATTTGATCCTCAGCACCACATAAGAATAAATAAATAATTTAAAAAATGATAAGGGAAGTTAATCATTTAAACAGTGGTTGAAGAAACTGGAAAATAAAAAACTTGGATGACTGGGGATATAGCTCAGTTGGTAGAGTCCTTGCTTCTCATGCACAAGGCCCTGGGTTCAATCCCAGCAACACACACACACACACACATACACACACACACAAAGACTTGGAGAGGAAAGTTTGCCTATAATAGCAATATTCAAATTTATAAAAGGGTCTTCTAACAAAGAGGAAATAAACTATCAGTAAAAACAGTTAACCATTTTGTAAGGGCCTAGTGTGCTTAAATGTTGTACTGGGTACTCCCCATATGTTACATATATTGCAAAGACTGTACCATCTTCCTTTTACAGATGATGAAACTGAGACTTAGAGGTGTAATCATGGTCACATAATTATAAAGTGATATCACAATTAAAATCAAAGATTGTTAAATCACAAAACCTGGGCTGGGTGCCGTGGTGCACTCCTGTAATCCCAGTGCTTTGGGAGGCTGAGGCAGGAGTATCGCTAGTTCAAAGCTAGCCTCAGCAGTTTAGTGAGACATTAAGCAACTGAGCAAGACCTTGTCTCTAAATAAAATATAGAAAAGGGCTGGGATGTGGCTTAATGGTACAGTGCCCCTGAATTCAATCCCTGGTACCAAATAAAAAAACCCAACAACAGCAAAAGAAAATCTGTTAGCTGTCAGGCTATACCAACTCATAGTGGGTAGGTAGTCAAAGGGAGACAGACCTCAGGCAACAGGGAAAAGCTAACCATCTGAATGATTCTGAGTTTCTAGCATAAGAGGACTTGAAGCAGGAAGTAAAACATTGCTTCCTGGGGCTAACATAAAGAGAATGTCTTACTTTAGGAAGATGAACTTTAAAATTACTTTCTTTAGGCTTCTCTTCAAATGTGATCACTTGAATTCCTTTCTAGGACCTGCCTTTTTGTTCTCAGTGATCTGATTCAGTTCATTTTTGGCTCTATTTTTGGTGCAGTTCCATGATACAGGGATCTTAATACTTTGACAATTTCCATCCCTAAGTAAAATGAAATTTATGTAGAAACTCTGATTCATTTCTTTAAAAATTATGGTTTTCTGTATATTCAGCACAGTGGTTACTGTGTAGCATCTATGGCATCATCAAGGGGACTCCTAGTTTGTGTTGATTGAAACATAACCTGAGGTACAATATGCTAGAGGTCTGAGCCACTTTTTAAACACACTGTTGTACCACTGACTTGATGGCTGCTCTTTGATAAAAATGTTAGTGTAGCTCTTACAGTTGGGAAGGGGTACGAGTCTCTTTGCTGCACAAAGACATTTTAACAATTGGTCAATTGACAAGTAGGATAAGAAGAGCTGGGAAAGAAACCTATCATCTTGAAATGCTTATTGTTAATTGATTATATATCTTAAAAAATTATGAGGAATGTTGGGCTGGGAATGTAGCTCAGAGGTAGAACACTTTCCTAGCTTGAATGAGTTCCTGGGTTTAGTCCTCAACACTGCAAAATCAAACCAAAGAACCAGACTTAAGGAATGTTGATTTTCTTTCTTTTCTACATTTTTAAAAATTGGTTCACTGTAGTCATAATAATGATGGGATTTGTTGTTTCATATTCATACATGTACACAGTGTAACAGTATAATTTAGCTAGTATCTTTCCCCAGCACTTTCCCCCTCCCTCACTGCCTCAGCAATGTTGATTTTCTTAAGGAATGTGAATGCTGGGCAGTGATGTTGACCCCAAAGTTTGACAAATTCATATTGTTTTTAGCATGTTGGTGTTTGGTCTTATAAAACAATTATGCTGATTTTTAAGTTTGAAAACAAATAATTTGTAATTTTTTGTTAATCAAATTTACAAAATTCTTTTTTGTAGTTTATTCACCTTGATGATGATTGCGTAACTGAACTTTCTGTACATCACAGAAACAACAGGCAAACAATGGAGGATTTAATTTCATTGGTAAGAAATACAACATGAATTTAAGAATAATATCTTTTGTTTCATTGTTTATCTTATTAGTATATTAAAATAAGATAGCATTTCCAGACCTGCAATTTTGTCATCAATGTAAATATTGTACTTGTGCATGGTTTCAATGCAATTTTTTTTTGTCTACATGAATACTCTTTACTTAAGACATTGATTAAAGATACTGATAGGGGATAAATAATTAAGGAACAGAGCAAACTAATCCACAGAGAATTGACAGTTCTTATTTTCACTATTTAACGTTCTTAACATAGAATTGTGGTTCTGCTATAAAAAGTGAGTTAAATACAGCACAGTTTTCTTCTTAACTAAAAAACAACCTGGTAGAAACATAAATACCATGAAATTATCAAGATTTCTGATGTTGCATCATTTTAAAATGTTTTAGATGCTCAATGTCTGGATTTTTCCTGGATTTTTCCCCCTAGAGACAGGCATTCACAGCTGTCTTTGAGTGCAATCTAATGTGATAGGCGAGGATCATACCTAGCTTTGCTTGTGTTTCATACTGTCTTTTGTCACTTATGATTTGTGTTTGTTTTTTCTGTACTCCAACTTGGAAAGTAGAAATTTTAATTAGATTTTAAAAAATTGAATAAAGCTTTACTTAAAGCATAATTCTTTTTAGTGATTAAAAAGAATTATGCTTTAAGTATAATTAAATGAACAATCTAATGAACAAAGACTCTGGGATATGAATGGAAAATCTAAGTATTTACTGTTTCATGGGGAATGCCTTTAGAAGAATTGCAAGAATTGGAAATTGCTGGAAGATATGATGTCTTTATTCTTGAAACAAAAGAAAATTTGAAAAAAAATTATGCCTTTCTCTTTGGGATGATCTTAAATAGAAGACTGTGTCCAATACAAAAATTTTCTTTTAAAATTTTAGAATTTTTGAGCACCTACAAGAGTAAAGAAACTTGTGTTAACAATGAGTTTCAATGCACTCATCACCCACTTTTCCACAGTTGTTAATGTTTTGCCAGTTTTAACTATATCCCAACCACTTCTCCCTTCACCTTTTCTAGCTGGAATATTTCAGAGAAAGTCTCAGATATTGTGTCATTTTATCTAGGAAAAATTTTATGAGATCCACAGATTTTTAAAATCAGAATCTTGAAAGTAACATACTCAGCTAGGACAATGGTGCATGCGTGTAATCTCAGCTGCTCAGGAGGCTGATGAGGGAGGGTCACAGTTTTTTTTTTTTTTTTGTTCTAATTAGTTATACATAACAGTAGAATGCATTTTGACACATCATACATAAATGGAATATAATTCTTATTCGTCTGGTTGCACATGATGCAGAGTTATACAGGTCATGTAATCATATATGCACATGGGGTAATAATGTCTGATTCATTCTATCATTCCTACTCCCAAGCCTCTCCTCTCCTCCCTTGAGTCCTCTCTGTCTAGTCTAAAATACCTTTATCCTCCACCTTATTATGAATTAGCATTCGTATATAAGAGAAAACATTTGGCCTTTGCTTCTTTGGGATTGACTTATTTTGCTCAGCATAATATTCTCCAATTCCATCCATTTACTAGCAAATATCATACTTTCATTCTTCTTTAAGGCTGAGTAATATTTCATTGTGTGTATATACCACAGTTTCTTTATCTATTCATCTGTTGAAGGGCATCTAGGTTGGTTCCATAGTTTAGCTATTGTGAATTAAGTTGCTATAAATATTGATATGTCTGTGACACTGTAGTTTGCTGATTTTAAGTCCTTTGGGTATAAACCAAGGAATGGGATAGCTGGGTCAAATGGTGGTGTCATTCCAAGTTTTCTGAGGAATCTGCATACTGCTTTCCACAGTGGTTTCACCAATTTGTAGTCCCATCAGCAACGTATGAGTATGCTTTTTTGCTCACATCCTTGCCAATATTTATTGTTGCTTATATTTTTGATGCTTTCCATTCTGACTGGAGTGAGATGGGATCTCAATGTAGTTTGATTCACATTTCTCTAATTGCTAGAGATGTTGAACATTTTTTCATATGTTTGTTGATTGATTATATTCTGTGAAGTGTGTGTTCAGTTCCTTTGCCCATTTATTGATTGGATTATTTATTTTGGTGGTGTTTTTTGAGGTTTTTATATATCCTGGAGATTAATGCTCTAGAGGATCAAAAATTTGAGGCCAGCCTGAATAACTTATCAAGACTCTTTCTCAAAATAAAAAGTAAGAATGGCTAGGGATGTAGCTCAGCTGTAGAGTGCTCCTGGGTTCAATCTCTAGTACTGCCAAAAAAGAAAAAAAAAAAATTACATGGTATCCTTTATCATAAAATCTCTATATTCCAAACTTAAAAGTAAAACATGAATTAATTGCTTTCCTTACTTCTGGTGTAGAAAATGCTAATGAAGCATATTAAAGATTATTTTCTGTTGGTATATCTCTCCAAAGATCTTTTTGGGTTGGTGTTGTGGTTCAGTGGTAGAGCACTTGCTCAGCAGATTCGAGGCCCTGAGTTCAATCCTCAGCACCACATAATAAAAATAAATAAATAAATAAATAAATAAAATAAAGGTGTTGTGTCCAACTACAATTGAAAAATAAATGTAAAAAAAAAATCTCAATTATTCTGAAAGTTAAATATGACTGATATTGAGCCTGCAATATATTTTTATTCTTTTTTAAAAAAGATTTTTAGGTTGTAGATGGACACAAAAAACCTTTATTTATTTGTTTTTTTTTACCCTGTGGTGCTAAGGATTGAAACCAGTGCTTTTCACGTGCTAGACAAGTGCTGTACCACTGAGCTTCAACCCCAGTCCCTATATTTTTATTTATATTTTTAAATATATGTTTATTCTCATGTCCAGTTGTAAGGATGACTAGGATACAAGCTGCTCCCTGTAGGTCAGATATTCTCAACCTCAGCTGTATATTGGCATCATCTGGCATCTTTAAAAAAGAATTCTGATTTGCAAGTCCCACCCCCAGAGGTTATACCTCAGTTGGTGTGGGGTATGACCTAGGCAGTGGAATTTTTAAAAAGCTTCTCATATTATTGCATTGTGCAGCTAGGAGTTAAGAAACCCTGTTTTAGTTTTTTACTATTCAAAGTGCAATCTAGGACCAGCAACATCGGTACCCCTAGGGTGCTTGTTAGAAATGCAGAATCTCAGGCCCCTGCATAGACCTACTGAATCAGAATCTATATTTTAATAAAATTCCCAAGTGATTCACATGTACATTAAAACTTAGGAATGTTGGTCTAAGTCAGTCTTTCTTAATCAGGAGTGATTTTTGCCCTCCTCGGGGTATTTGTCAATATTTGAAGACATTCTTAGTTATAAGAGCTGGGGTGTGTGGGTAGAGGCCTAATTAATTAATTAATTAGTGGGTAGAGGCCAGAGATGTTGCTGAACACCCTATAATGCACAGTACAGTCCTTTATAATAAAGAATTATCTAGATCAGAAGTTAGTAATACTAAAGCTCAGGTCCCTAGTCTAAGTAATATCAGAGAATTCATATTAGTTTTAGGTATTTTCTAATGTGAAGAGTCCTGAGAAAACCAAATTTGAGATTAGGTATGGCCTATTATAATTGTGGCATCTTGGAAGCTCTGCCTTTACTTTTGGGGCTTATTAGACAGGACACAGAGAAAGTGATACATTGTGATCCATGCTGGTCTGGTACTGCTGATCTTTGTGTAAATACAGAGAAATATTATTCCCAAATATCCATCTCTTGCAGTACTCTCACTTTATATTATGTATGTGAGCACTTCTGAACTGCTTTTTATATGCAGTAGTCAGAATCTTCTGTGACTCATGATTTTGAGCCCCACTGGGATTCTTAACACTGGTGCCTGAGCTTTCCACTTACTACTCTCCTTACTTTCCCCCATTCCTTCAGCAGCAGGTGGCTCTGGAATGTGGGAGCAGCCAGTTATCTGAAAGGGGAAGTTCACTGACTGTCATGTGTGCATGTGAGAACATGTTCAGACCAAGACAGATCCCTTCCCTCACTTCTGTGATGCAAACACCCTTATGTTTAAAGATTGAGGGTCTCAGGAAGAGGGTTAGGTGAGGGGTAGAGGGCTACTCCTCAATTTATCTAACCCTGCTTCTTTAGCCAGGTGCCTATGAACTTATTTAACATTTAATTGATGGTTTAAAAAATGTTTTAATTTTCTAGAAATGGAAACTTCTTTCTAATAGGGTAAAGTATCACCTTTATACATTTGACTTTCAAAAGAGGGAACTGCCTAAAAGGTAAGGGAGACGTTAGTTGTGTTAGGCTTGTGGATTGACATCACCTGAAAGCATAACTAATGTGTTGATTTATCTGTTATTGAACACAGAACTCCCTTGTGCATTTATCAAAATGGGAAGTATACAGTGGCTCTGCTAAAGAAGTTTATAAAAAGTTTTTTTTTTTTTTTTTTTTTTTAAACTGAGGGAAAAGGGAGTATAGAGAATGGTTGTGTATCTCCTAGGCATGTTTAGGGAAAACCCATCTATCTGGGTTGTGGTGGCACACACCTGAAATCCCAGTGGCTCAGAGGGTTGAGGCAGGAGGATCACAAGTTCCAAGCCAGCCTCAGCAATTTAGTGAGGCCCTAAGCAACTCAGCAAGGCCCTCTCTCAAAATGAAAAAGGGCTGGTGATGTGGTTCAGTGATGAAACATCCAGTGCCTTGATAAAGTTAGGCCATTGCTGATAAGAAAGTGACCGCTTTTTTCTCATCCATTATCTGTAATCAATTTGCAGCGTCTCTTTCAAAAAAAGTTGACTAGCACACAGGACACAATAGATGTGGGATATGGGAAAAAATCTTTAATGTAGTTGTGGGAAAGTTGAGGGTGATTGTAACTATTTAGTTGTCACGCAATTCCCAGGTACCTTCTCCATGAAGCCTTTTCTGTTCTTCTTTCCCTCTGCCTTATCTGGATGAAAGGTAACATTCTACAATAATTTGTCATTGTGTCTTATACTTTACCCACTAGATTGGTTGGGCCATCTTGTAAATTTCAGAGCATATACTATGATTGGGGCCATTTAAAATATTAAATGATAAAATTTATTAATAAAAACAGTTGGTAGTTGACTTCTTTAAGTCATGTACTTTGTGAGGGAATGCCACAGCATTAAATACTCAGTACTGACCATTTATGGTGGCACACACCTATAATCCCATCACCTTAGGGGCTGAGGCAGGAGGAGGATAGCAAGGTCAAGGGCAGCTTGGATAGCTTGGTAGGGTCTGTCTCAAAAATAAATGAAAAAAGAATAATTAAAAAGTACTGGGGGGCTGGGGATGTGGCTCAAGCGGTAGCGCGCTCGCCTGGCATGCGTGCGGCCCGGGTTCGATCCTCAGCACCA